TTTTAGCTGTTTGGAGAAATCCCTACTCTCTTTTTAAAACAGCTAAAAGACTTCCTTTAAAAATCTAGCAAATAGCAGTTAATCTTCCTTGGTGTCTCTCTTGTGACATCTGTATTAAAGGTCCTGGCCCAGCACTGGCAATAGCACTGATGTCTTAGTGCTGGCATCTGTAGTGAAGACTGATTAAGGACTTTGGGAAGCAAACTGACTGCCCAAGTAGCAAAGGTCAGACAGGGCAGAAGGAATTAGGGAGATTTAAGGGACTATGAGAGACAAGATGGCAATATTGCTGCAGGGCCTGGGCTGAGAGCTGTAGTTATTGCTTCCTTAAGAACTGAGGTGTTCTTAAGGACACATGAAGTACAGTTTTCTGCCCAAGCCCTGCAGCAACTGTGCCAATACTTTGTTATCCTGTTTTCACCTCATAAAAGAATAAAATTGCAATCACTAGCATAATTTTAGGAAGGGGAAAACTCAAACCACTGAAAGGTGAAGGAACTTCCCCAAGTATAATCAGTAATGATAAGGAAGGGGAAGAGGTAGTATTGTGTCTACTTGTGACATTCAAAGCATCACATAAAAGACTGTGTCCTTGGAACAGGTCAAATTCAGAAGGACACCGTGGAATTGACTGTAACACTGTAGAGTTTCTCTAAGGTCCATTTTGTGTTGAGTTTACAGTCAAGCAACCTTTACCTTGAAACTATTATCCTCTCCTGAAAACCAAACTAAGCAGGAAGTATAGTGTTCTCTAAACATATAACAAAATATTGTTATGTGGAACAAGAAGCTTTGTTAAGGAGTTCTCTTCAAGACACAGTCCAAGGCCAACATAAACTTCAGATTTAAATAGTCTGGTATGTGAGGAGAAATATGCAAAGCCAGTATTCACAACTCCTCTGTACTTGTGCCTCTTCGCTATACCGCTAGGGTGACTGTTGCCAATTTTTCAAACAATTTAGAATTGAACAGTCTTTTTCTAAACCTGTGAGAGAGGGAAAAAGAAAAAAAAGAGAGAAATTAAGAACTTATAAAGGGACACATAAATGTGTCAATTTTGGACATCATCTGCAAAGGAAGGAGGTAGATTGGCAGGCGTAATGGCAGACCAGAGCCAGAAAGCAGAGATACATTATTAAAAGCATTAACTAGGTGTTTTGAGGAATTACTCTGGCAGAGCGCCAAGGCAACAGTAGGATTATTTCATGACAGACTCCATGTGTCATCAAACTTTTATATCAGTTAGACCCTGAAAGTGAATTAGTGTTTTTAAAATAATGAAACACTTCTACCATTTAAGTTTTTGGTGTGTTTTGAAACTTTTAAACTGTGAGAATCTGATCTCACAAAAACTGTTCTGTCTCAAAGCTTTATTGAGAACTCAACCTCTTACCCTACCCTCAAGTATAAAAGGAACAGACAAGGACAGGAATAATTTCAGCTCAGGCTGACTCCTTTTGCAGGAGCTCAGGTGCACCTCATTTACTGAAAATCCATTACACATCTAGTTCTGAAGGGCTGTTCATTCCCTTACCATGGCTCTCCATCAGCTCCTGCCAGATCATCACTTTGTTCTTTCTCTTGTCTAGGTTCGGCTGGTCCTGATTGCCCCTTTATATCTGAGAGAGGATGCTGGCTTAGTCCATAACCATTTCCTTGAGAAAAACATTTTGGTAAGAGTTTTTTTTACCCTATTCTAGGAACACATTTTTCAGGAGCTTCTCTTCCTACACTTGAAATTCAGTATGGCCAACACATTCCTATATGGATGGTAGTGAATCCAGCTTCAATTTTAAGCACTGGGGAAAACATCACATGCAAAAGAGTGACAGATGGAGATGTATCAGCTTTTACCTAACAGTGAAGAGGGGAGGTAGAAGTCAGTGTCGGCACTTCTGTCAAAATCTGTTTTTAATAAAAGACATTTGTTAAATTACTGACACATTTCCATAATATTTTAAAATATTTATACTATGAAATAATGATGTCCTCTCAATTAGTGAAAAGAGTAAGGAAATAGATAAAAAGGCAAGGAGGACTTGGGGAAAGGTATGCGTGAGACCAAACTCCACTCATCGTGGTCCTTGTGTCAGATTTCCTCCTCATCTCCCATTTCTCTGAGATTACCACATGCCCCATGGTCAGAAATCTCTCACTTGCCTGTTTGCTTGTTACTTGATTTTTTAAAAAAAATTTATGTATTTTTTCCTTCCAATGGGATTAAAAAAAAAAATTACATTTACTGGCAGATAAGCTTCTTTCTAAATGGGAACACTGTTACAGACAGATAGAATGTTCTTTTATGTTTATGAATCTTCCTTTGCATTGTGTAAACGAACACTCACAGTGTAATCATGAGTTTTCCATCATCATTAGCAGCAGGATCCTAGAAGTTAAATGAAAGGAGCCTAGGAAATGGTCCAACACTGGAAGGTTCCCACAAAGAAAAGCCTAGTTGGATAATTAAGGAAACTTTATGATATGAACATCATGTCACAGTAAATTATAACATATCAGGTAACACTACCAAAAAACAGTCCTGAAAGCTTGTAAAGCCATAAACTAGAACAACTGGCTTTTCTTTCGCATAAGCTTGAAGCAGGGGCTGGGAGCAGAGGGGGGAAAATGAGGGTAAGAAAGGAAGAGGAGTTCACACTGAGGTAATAAGCCACTGTTTCTTTGGAAACCTTAAGCTTTGTCCAAGTTTTTTAAAATCAATATAAATGGAATATACTTGGGTTGCAGATATAAATAAAATCCAAGGATGTCTCCCACATACATACTGTTGGTAAAAAGAGAAGTTTGAAAATAGGGTTTAAATCATCCTTTTCAGAAGCTTTAAACCTCACCTTCTAGCAAGTGACACTGAGCTTCTGGCAAGTGGCAGTTTCATGTATGAAATGTGCCTCCTAAAACTGAAGAGTATACAGGACAGAATAGGATAATGTGTCAACAAATTACATCCTAAAGATTGAAAGCAATCTAGGCAGCCTGTGCTGACTTATCCCTGGTTGTATACAGAAAAGTACTAGGTGTCAAGATTTCACAGAAAAGAGTTTAGATCTTACTAGCCTAACAGAATAACAATACATCGATTCACAGTTTGGATAAGGAAAAACAAACAAACAAATCCCCACAAGCCAAAAGAACAAAGCACAAACCAGCTTCTTACCTCAGTCATTTACGAAGTAGCTCCCCCGCCCTCGGGGCTAGTGATCGATGGCACATCATTGCCAACTCCCCGATCTCCTTATGGGCCTCCACACATCTTTACAAACTTCCACTGCAAAACCTGCTCCTGTGATTCAATGACCACCTGCCCTGGCCATTCATGCACAGCACAACTCATCACGTACTGACACAGCCTAAGAAAGTGATACATTTAAAGTTTTTATGTTTCAACGCCAGAACACTCAAAAGACAGGGCAGACACTGTATGAGCTGCTTCTATGAAATAACTTGATTACATCACCCTTGCTCATTACAAGCTTTCATTTTAGACAGGACAGAGCAGGGGCAAGTAAAGCCATGGCTCTTCCCAGTGGATTTGTGCAGCTGAAGTTGGTTCAGACAGGAATCCCTCCTGCATTACACCATTCCAAGTTCTTAGCTAAACTCCCTTTGTTTCATGCATGCTCTTGCTTCTCCATATTGTGATTTATATTTGGCATGATGTCTTTATGCATATACTTGACATTTTTTTAAGAAACTATGTAAAACTTAACTTTCATCCATTTGGTAACATCCTACTGCATTTTTGCATATTTTAGGTATGGCCAAGCAAGTATCCCCTTGTTTTAGTGTAAAAAGCTGCTTTTTTCTATAGCTGTGTAGTAATATTGATGGTATCAGTAAAAAGAATTCAGCGGTAGGTAGTCAAGAAAACTCAGAAAAGCCTGTGGTAGAAGATTTTTTTCTATTCAGTATTTACATAAATGCCTATGATCCCCGAGATTTTAATTATTAAAGACACTGAAAGTTCAGCTGCATGAAGAAAGGTCAATATCTAGCCCTGGTTAACTCCAGGAATCAAGAATGATAAACAGGTAAATTAATCGTCTTTTTACCGCTTATGTAATAATTTCTCACACGGGAGCTGAGCGACGGGATAGCGGGATGGGCACTGCAGTAGCTCCTCCTGCTGGTTACACTGAGTTATAACTCAAGTATTCGCAAACAAAAATCACCTGCAAACGCTAAATGTATTAAAAAATTGCTGTTTTACTACTTAAATTACCAGACTGCCGTGGTTTAACCCCAGCCAGCAACCAAATCCCACGAAGCCACTCGCTCACCCCCCACCAGCAGGGTGGGGGAGAGAACTGGAAGGGTAAAAGCAAGAAAACTCGTGGGCTGAGATAAAGACAAATTTAATAGGGAAAGCAAAAGCTATGCATGCAAGTAAAGCAAAACAAGGAAGGAATTCACTGCTTCCCATGGGCAGGTTCAGCCATCTCCAGGAGAGCAGGGCCCTATCACACACGACGGTTACTTGGGAAGACAAATGTCATTGCTTCTAACATTCCTCTCTTCCTCCTTCTTCCCCCCACTTTATACACTGAACACGATGTCATGTGGTCTGGAATACCCCCGTGGTCAGTTGGAGTCACCTGTCCCAGCTGTGTCTCCTCCCAGACTCCCGTACACCCCCGCCCCCTCACCACTGTGGCAGTACAAGAAGCAGAAAAGGCCTTGGCTCTGTGCAAGCCCTGCTCAGCCACAAAAACATCTGTTGTCATCACTGTGTTCAGCACAGACACAAAACACAGCCGACACCAGCCACTGGGAAGAAAACTAACCCTACCCCAGTCAAAGCCAGCACACAGGCCGGTACGAGACCAGACTATAACCTCTGGCATCCTGGCTGACTTCAGGTAAAACGAGACATCCCCAAACTCACTTTTAAGCCCACCCTTAGTGACCATTCATTTTTTCTTAACTGATTATATAAAACACATTCAGCATTAACCCCAACCAAATACCAATTCCTGTTAAGAAAATAAGATTTATAATCTTTATTGTTTACTTACATATAATAAATATAATGCAGAACAAAAACATCACACATTGATTGTATTACACAGGCTGTTAATCAGATTACATTTTCTTTTCATTAGCCCTTTTATAGGGTTTTGGTACTGGGTATTAAGAATTTTAATTTCAACCTACAAACACAAGAAAAATCATCCAATTTTTACCTTCACACATTTTAAATACTCATATATATATTGGTCTTGTTAAAAATATATAAGCACTGTTCAGTATTTGCAATATAGGACTTTAATTTCCATTCACTAGATCTCTATTAATATAGAGGATTTCAAAATAATGAATAGCTTAAATCTGATTTTAATTAAAAATACTTATTCTATATTTCTCATTTAACTGACTTCCCCTCAGAAAATGAAGTGACAGGACAAAGACACTCCAGGCAAAAGCCAGTATTCACTTTTAAAGAACAAAGGGTAAAGTTCTGGTCCTTGCTTCACCTGTACTATCCTGGAATAATGGAGACACCAATTTGATATAAAGAGGGCAGAAGGAAACCAGAGTTTCTGAGCAGACATGCATCTTCATTTCAGATTTACCACTGCCATCCTGCTGTTTTCTTGGCTTAAAAAATCACTGCATCAAACCTCCATTATATGTTTTTCTCTGCATGAATATCCTTACCATTAAATGGAAATCAGATTAAAATGCTACATTTCTTTTTTTATCAAAAATAGATCAAGGTTTTTAACATACTCTGAAATCAGGTTTTTAAGTGCAAATGCAATACATCAGTAATTCACGTTCTGGTCTCGCTAAGGAAAATGGTTAAAAGATGATGCATAAAGACGTTTCATAGAGGATATATACTGGAACTTTCTGTGCCCTCTGAACATCTGAATTATCAAGAAACTGTACAGACTTCAGGCAAACAAAAGTTTTCTTCAGTTGAAGCAGCATCTGCTTTAAAAGTGTTATTGAGAATTCCCTGAAACTTGGTACAAAATGTAATGCCAAAACAAACATTAAAACTGCTACTGGTTTTGTGCATCTTTTAACGCAATAAGTTTCAGGGTTTTCATAAATCAAGGTTCACAAACAATTTTGCTTTACTAATATCTACTCCAAAGAGACCTCACATAGATTCTAAATCATTACCCCTTCAGCTGTACAATGCTGAGGTTGTACCTCATACTTATTACGTTTCTCTAATCCCATTCAGAAAATGTCAACTCCAACAACTGGCTATGCTTTCCATATAGCTTTGTGTGAACAGCCTCGTGACTTTCAATTAGCAAAGCATTCCTTTATAACTGCTTGGATGTACTTCAAGAAAAAGAAAAACAAAAGAAACTCCTAAGTCTCCAAATATAATTTTTCTGCCTTTTTTTTTTTGTTCGTTTGTTTGTTTTTTTTGTTATAATCACAGGGCTTAATTTAAGCATTTAGCTTCAATATGAAATGATTATTCAAAATATCCACTTTTTATATTAGGTCAAGATCAACCAGAGATCAATCCAATAAACCATTGCCTAAGCACTTCCTATATGGAATTGGGCTATGCAGGAAATTACCTCAATGATATTACAGCTGATCCCATATGCTTCCTACTAAGATTCTCTAATTTTCAATTAAGATTTTTGTATTAATTTTCGTGGTTTTTTTTTCCTTACCCAACAGGAAAGTGATACTGTTTGGCTGGAAAGCCCCCCCTGTTTCTCTACCTAGAAGAAAAAGAAGATTCTAAAATATTTGAGAAATTACTCATTCTTGTAGAGGAACTAACTTAATCAGTATGTAAAAGGTCAGATTTAGGTAGAAGAAAAGCATCACCTCCTATTACACAGACAAGGAAGATTTGTGGGCTGTAATATATCGAAGGATATCATCAATGAAAAGACAGTCATTTGCATATTATAAAATTAGTTTTATGCTAAATGGCTAATTCCCCCAGCTTCATAAGTGTGAAGTTTTGTTTGGGGTTTTATAAAAAAAATTGTGGAAAAAAAATCAGGAGCATATGTGCAGAACAGCCCTGAACTATTATTTCTGAGGCGATTCCAGTAGCCGGTTATATTTCTTCTGTGGGATATAAAGAAAATTTGTGCACCCTCCCTGAAAAAACAGAAGTTCATTAATAAAAGAAAAGGAACATTGGATGCAACTTTAGAAACAGAGATGCACCTAAAGGACTCTGCACTTGTAGAACTAAACAGCTGCTTTCTACAAAAATCCTCAGAGAAAAGCCTTTTATGCTTTTTAGAAGTAGGAAGTGAAAGCCAGATGAAATTCTGGATGTGTTTCATATCATGGCAGGCATATCCAGAAAAGGTCTGATGCAACACTTCACCTCAGAGGAGAGTGAGAACACAGATATCTGAGTAGTCACATTTATATGTCAGATTTATGTTTTATGTTAGATTTTTAACACCACGGAGAACTAGGATAGTCAAAATGTAATTACACTGGCTTTACCTAGAGAGGAAATTCACTTTGCAATGAATGCAACAGGGCATGTAAATGGAAATGTCAAAGCAGAAATCATCAAGAGGAAGGTGATGCTCAAGGCTGATGACTATGATCACACGTTCTCACTATGGACAAAAAAATTCTCCTACAAGTATACAACAAAGTGTAGAGGTTAACATTTCTCACACTGATGATTTCAAACAAAAGTCATGTAGTAAGACAAATTCACCTTCTAAATAATTAGGCTGCTTGCTGGCTATACAGAATATATCTTTTGTGACCAGTTACAGTAGTGTGTTTACCATTTTTACCAGCACTAAAATCCCTCCATTTATTACCGAGGTCTTAAAGCAAACCACTCCAAATATACGCTGCAGATAGAAATAATGCAAAGGCATAAAGGTCAGCCTGACTGCAGAGTTCCTTTTCAATAAAGTTTTACTTTATTAATGCTGTCTATGACTCTCTTGGGCTTTGGATCAAATCCCAGTCTAGACAAAGTATCTTCACTGGAAAAACAAACAAAAAAATCCCCAAAGTGAACAGACTTAGTAAAAATTTGATTATATAAATGAATATATTTATATTAGAGATTTATACCGGTGATCTACTCCATAATCAGATTATTATTATGGTATTGCCTAACCCTGAAAGTTAATGTCACTGTCATGCCAGAAGTGCATCTTCAAAATCAGCAGAGTAACTATTCATTTGTATGGCGCAGAGGACAACAAAGTAAAACCACACATGTTGCAACATCGGATTAGAACGGATGTTTCTCCAAACAGTAAGAAATGTTGGGCAGAGTGTATTTTATTGACACCTTTAAATGTTCTTAACATTCTCATCACGATTTACCTGATAAATCTAAAGGAAGTTCAACATGAAAGCTACACAATGTGAAATGTTTTGAGTGAAACTCAGAAATGTTTGTAGCAATTTTAAAAGCAGGAATTAGTTATCGGCTCTCACAACGTATGGTATCATCCACATTTCCCTGAGAAATCATGCCCTGCAATAATCATGTAAAACAAAATACAGCATTAATGAAATAATGGATTAGATAGGGGAAATAATGCATAACAACTGTTTTTGAGTGAACACAGAAATGCTACTGGAGTCGTAACTATTAAATTGCAGGCATTACACATGATAGCCATAACAGAAATGGTAACTAACTCAAAACTTGTTCCAGATAAGAAAGCTGATTAGAAGCACCATCCTATAGTTAGCCATATAACTCAACATTATGATATTAACATTAGTTTGTTTCTTGATTTTTTGAGCATGCCACTTCTTAACTTAATTTACAAACACTGCCTTATCTGTTTGCATATGAAATTTGAATATGTGTCCATAAATTCACTCTATGAACAAAATTAAACTGGTTTTCTCCCTCCTCTGATAGCTTAGTGTAGCTCAGTAACTTAATTTCCCTAAGATAGTAAGATCTTTCAAGAGAGAATAGGAACGATAACATTCAACACCAAGAGAAATGGAAACAAGAATTACAAAGAAATCGTTTTGCCACCTTATTTAAAGCCATCATAGCTGTGAATAGCAGTACCTAGGCACAAGGAGCATTGCGAAAGGAATGACAATTACAGCAGCACACACCAAGGAAAGTGATTTGCAGTATCCCCTATTTTTGTTAGTATGTTCCAAGGAGGTTTGACACACACAGACCAGCACACTGGGTCAAGTATCAGCTGCAGCCCCAGGGTTCAAACAACACCCCTGATTAACATCTTATTTCCACAAAATACCTCAGCATCTGCCACACCTCACTGAGATACCCAGGAGTGCCTCAGCCACCCTGCTTCTGAGTTTGTGTGCAGTCCACTCCAGCCCAACTCCATGGCAAGCCAGGCCAGCCACACAGTACAGCCCCTGCCCTCATACAGGGACTTCCATAGGCCAAAAGCCAACAAGCAGGATGCAGTGAACACTGGGAAACGGGAACATCAGGCCCTTGGTGCCTCCAGCAGCATTCATGTGCCCCAGACTTTGCAAGTAATTGCTAAGTACCAATGTGGCATCTCTCTCAGTCCACTGGTGAATTAACATTACATCTACAGCTTGTAGAGAACACATTTTCAGCATGACTGAAACCTAACACAAAGTGGCCAGAGAAACTGAAATTCTTTTTCTCCTTTGTCCTGAACTGCAGCACACTGTGTATCAAATAGACTCACCAAAGGCATGCTCTGTAGCATTTGGCAAATTATCAGTATTTCCTTCATATATAAAAACCAAACAGCTCCAAAACCTTAACTGTACACACAGAAGAATTGTTGGTTATTTCAAATGATTACAGGAATTAGTTAAACTGTTTGACAGAGCAACACATGGTATTCATTTTCCATCTTGCAGATATGGGAAATCACTGTTGCTAATGGTAATCAAAGAAATGCTAGACATAGAAAAAATTGTTGTTTTTTTGAAGTGTATGTGGTTCCTACAAGAAATATGTCAGGATAAAGACATTCCCAAATTGAAACAGTAAGAGCAATGACAATTTACACCAGCACAGAGAGGTAAAGCATTGATGAGAGAGCTCCTTCACATTCCAGTTGTGTGATGAGGAAGAAAAACCCAGCACGTCTCCATTTCGTCAGAGGTACCTGAGAATCAAAGCTAAATCTCTTGTGCATTTACCAAGCACCCATTAGAGAGTCAAGCAATTTACATTTCCAATTAGACAGTATATTTATAAAATATTATTGTACTAAAAATCACAAGATTTTATAGAAAAAACATCATCACATTCTATTAAATGCAGGAACAATGTTATATGTCATAGCTTCCATAATCAAAACCGTAACACGTTTCTTGTAACTACAGGGGCACCACTGTTTAAAAATCCTTTCAGGAAGGACAGTTTGCTTTGTTCTTACTCTTTAAAGAACTGTAATGTAATGCAAAAACACTGCTTAAGCTACTTAGTGCCATGAGATGAAAATATCTTGTATCTTATAAAAAAAATTAGCACATTTTTGTTAAAAACAAGAACAGTGGGAAGGCCCTGACTGAGTTTACTGAACGCTCTTCAACATTCCTGGGGTCAGAGACAGAATAATATTCTCTTAGTACTTATTTTTTTAACCTCTCAAACTCATGAATAATGCAAATTAACAGCAGTCATATATGTGGGGGATTATGATGATCTTTTACTTTAAACCATGAACATAAGGGCAAATATGAACAGCAACTGCCCATTTTACATTGCAGCTCCAATTCTATTGGTATGGCCAATTTCAAAGAACAGTAATAGAAAATTTTGCTAAAAATACTGTCATTGCCCATCTGAAAGCAAACTCAGTTTCCCCAGGCTTAGTTCACTGATTCCACAAGTGCCAATTGATCCAAATTTAGAGTTAATACCTGGTATTACATATTTGTCAGGATCTTATTGAAACATTTCATTAATTGAAAACAGACATTATCTTTTTATTGTGAGTAGGCATTAACATTACTTCTAGGAAAAAAGTTGAAGCTAACATCCTGTAACTTGTCATAATTTAAAAAAACCCCAAAACCAAACAAACAAAAAAATCAAAAAACCTAAGGAAACTCCACTTATGAAAAAATCCCTGAAAATACTACCAAAGTAAAATTACTTCAACATACTGTATTTTCAACCCCTCTATTTGTGGAGTTTGGAAATTTAAATGTGGAATTTTTCAAAATGTCTACATAAATTGAATAAACATTTTGTCTGGTTTGGGTTTGTGATTTTGTTTTGGTTGGTTTGGAGGTTTTTTAAATTCCTATTTTAGTGTCCGGAGAAAGACTTACTATCTCATCTTAAAAAGAAGCTTCAGATCACCAAAACCTTTAGTGCAATCCAGTATTAAAAATGGGAAGGAAAAAAATGATAAAGGTAAAATATTTGAACAGAATAGCACCCAGGTCCATTTTTTCTTCTTTCTCTTAAATTCTAGCTGCTGGCTAGAATTCTTCTATAAATGTACAGCTAAGCATATTGCTTTCCTGCATTCTCTCTCATATAGTAGTTTTATCACCAAAAGACCAAAATTTCTTTTGGAATGATCATTACTGAGTGCCAAAACATGAAAAGGCATTTCTGCTATATCATCCTTCTGTATTTGTGTGGAAGGACAGTAGAAATACCCCACATTACCCTACCTTGTTATGTGGAAGAGAATACTGCTGGCTAAAAATCCATCCGACATTCATTATATAAAAATAAAATCCATCAAAAGCCAAAATTAACTTTGATCTGTCTTATAGGTCAGAAGTTGGAAAATGGCACTGATTAATTTCAAATATTCCTGAATATAATTATAATAGCTTCTCAGAATTAAAGAGGATAGAAACACTGCAGTGGAAGGAAGATATAGGTTATAAGGAAAATTACCAGTTTTAGAATAAATTTATTAATACAACTAGGGGAAAAGAAAAATCAATGCAAACACCTTTACCTTTCAGATTGCTAGCAGCCAACCCACTGACTGAAAACTTTCCTCAATTAATTTGACCTCTTTTGCAACTTGGCATCTACATACGTGAAAATTTTCACGTCTGTGAGGTAACTGGGAGTAAGAATGGGTTACAGAATCAGTCTGCTTAAAACAAACACTGATTTTGAGAATGGACACCCAAACGTATTGTAAATAGAAATATTTCCCCATTCACTGAAATTTCAAGCATTCCAGATTGTTGGGCAGCAAGATTTTTAAACATCGGCACCCACTGCCATTACAAGGCTTCTCAAAATGGCCTAAGACAACATGTCTGTAGTGTTCCAGGACCGTACAAAGATCCTGCCTCAATAATCATAAGAATGCACTTAATAAATTATTTTTTCTGTTTTCCTCTATTAATATGCAAATAGTTTATACAACATAAAAAAATTTAATTTGTACCTACTACAGGTAATGTATCTATTAAGCTTTTCCTCTGAAAGCCTGTAAGATTTGATGACCTGCAAACTTATTTACATAACTCACTTGAAAGTATCTTTTAAAAACAATATTGTCCAGCATTTAACAAAATCATGAGTTAAAAAAAGAAAGAAATCACTTAACAGCATTTGCTTTCTTGATTTTGTCAAGTAATGTCACCAGCTCAAGTGTTATAAGGCAGGTTGGTTGCTCAGATGGACTAAGACTCCCTATGGTGATAGGCATAGAGTAACTTTGTTCATTTATAAAATCAGATGAAAGCAAGAAAGAGGAAAAGTTTAGAGTTTCAAAAGAACTGAAACTTCTTATTTTTACTACAAATTCAGAATAGGCACTGAAACATGACTCCTTAGGGACTTTTCCAGAAGATTGTCTCTTCGCTGGGCATCATTCCATTTTTAAACTAAGAAGAAGAAAAAGAAAAAATTATCAGGGTACATAAGTCATGATTTCAAAAAAAGAATCACCATGTATATTTGTTTCCATCTTACTAATAAAAGAAATAACTCCATGTCTTAAGCTTAAGACATCACAATTACTGTTTTGGTTAGAATGTTTTCAATTTCTTTATTCGATTTAAGCAATATTAGAAAATAAAAATATACTTCTCATGTAATTCTGCATGCATTATTTGAAAACTAAAGCCCTGATGCACAAGGCTAGGAGAGTCCTAAACTATGTCTGTACTGACCATGTAATGTTCCTTTCAGATGTTTACGTAACCCCCTCTTAGAGAGGGATATTTTGCAAACTCTTTAGCTTTTCTAGTCCAGTCTCCCTATGGTTATCATGAGAAATACTTGCCCTAATATTTAATGGAATTTAAAAACTTAATTCTTGTCAACTACAACCACAAGGGCTCCCTTCCATTTTCTGGACCCATAATGATAAAGTTCTCTGAACTTCCTTAAATGGTTGGTGTTTTTCATGAATTGCAGTAACCCAAACGGAGACCCCAACAGCATTAAGGAGTGAAATAATTACTTCAGCTCTCTTCCACACACATAATCCATGTCAAGAAGTTGTGTGCTGCTTCTGGTTTGTTGACTCATGTCCAATTTTATATGAACATTTTAATTAAAAACTACTTCACATTTCAAAACCATTAACCAAAAACTGTATCAATGTGAGAATAATGCTTGGCAATGAATAGTAATTTTGACGACACACTTCAAAACTCTGTCCATCAATACAGGACAAGACTAACTGTATGCTTTTTAAAAATGTGTCCTTGCATAACACAAATGCCACCATGGAAACCAATCCTCACCTTTCTGTGTATTGTTTGAGGTTTTTAAGCATACCTTTTGCCTATGAACAGCAACTTTCTCCATCTTGTGAAACACTATGCATAGGAATGAGGCTTTCACACTGCTCACTTTCTTCTGGTATTCTTAAAAGAAACAAATTTATTTATTTAAAGTAACACAGTAATATTAAGTTGGTTGTTATGAAGCGAAAGTAACAAACTAAATACACTAGTTGTTTGAACTGCAGCCATCAAAAACATGCAAAGACCCCTTAAGTTCATCAAGTACACTTAAGTTTGCACAATTTTCACTGCATGTTCTGGGTACAGCAATTAACATAGAGGCATTAAGGGGAAAAACTGTGATAGCCACTAGGAAATTTCTTTTAAAAGGTAAAAAGACTTCACATCTTTCCATTTTCTGAGCATTGCAGAGGTTAATAAATGGATTGGCAACTACTACTATTAAGAAATCAGTACTGCTGAATATAAAATCAGCTGAAAATAAATAGAGTATGAGTACTGCAGCTTATAAAAAATATAGGTTAATGGAAAGGCTGGAGAAGAGATAGGATAATACTTTGTGACTGTCCTACCTCTGAATTCGATGTTTTCTACAGATAAAGGCAAAAACTCTTCTGATTCCCACCATCACCGGATCCCAGTTGTTATAGTGACATAAGAGGGTTGCAATGAAAAAAGAAAAAAATACAGGTACTGCCCCTGCAAAAAATAACCAGGAAAACTGCACCTGGAATTAAAACACAAACATCGTTCACTCAACAGTTTAAAAAAAAAAAAAAAAAAGGACATGCTGCATATTTAGGATAATTATTATTGCAAGTTTGAGATTATTATTGTAAGTTTGAGATGCAGTTTGAGTTATTTTACACTGGGTGAGTTATTTGGTACAATTTCTATAGCCACTGTTTCTGCTAATATCTTTTTCCACTGATCCTTTCTTTACAATGGAACACGTTGTTTGCATTGTGAGGTGAATGAAGACTCCTATTTCCAAAGAGTCTCATTTTTAGGTTTTTAGCTGTTTCTCTGGTACCAAGGAGAAACTAGACGCTTCAGAAATCCTGAATAAGAGATCTCACCTGAAAGATTTGTGCACCTGTCTATTCACTATGAATATACTGTCACTGACCAGTAACTGCTGAATTCAATGCACATAAGAAGACTCTGCTACTTGAAATTTACAGTAATTTTCTTTTTAATTAAAAAAAAAGGCAGGGCACATTTTTTGCCCAATTTAAACTAAATTCTACTTGTATCTATACTGCTACTTTTATCGATCTATTACTACACTCAGTAGCAGCCTTCTGATACTGTGTAAAACTTAAAATTATAGGAGGTTACAGCATGGTGAGGCCCTGGCACAGGGTGCCCAGAGAAGCTGTGGTTGCCCCATTCCTAGAAGTGTCCAAGGCAAAGTTGGACTGGGCTCTGAGCAACCTGGTCTAGTGGAAGGTGTCCCTTCCAACCCAAACCATTGCATGGTTCTACAATTCCAAATGAAGAGCACAATCTGCCTGGGACCTGCCTTTCAGGATGACAGAGCCATAAACTGTGGGCACAGCACCCTCGTGTGGAGAAAATATCCAAAATTGAAGAATTTGGAGAAAATCTGGCACCCAACATTGATTATCACCCTCAAAATTCTAATAAACTGCAATTGTTAAGTCTTGTGTTTTCTAAGTGATTTCTAACAGAAATTCAGAAACATGTAAATTACCAAAAGGAATATTTAATTAGTCATCAAAAACTTAGTTGTAATTTATGCTAGATTATTACAGAACAACATCCAGAAAGTCAGCAATTATGCACACTGTATAACTACCACACCATTTGACAGTCATACTGGATATATTACTATTTCAATCTTTACATTATTAGTCATGACAGTGGCATTCTTGTGTAGGTTCCTTTTAAGTAAAGACAAGGTTGGCCAGAGGCACTAAGGGAGCAGCTCGAAGCTTAAATTTCTATGAGCCCAATTTGGACACCAGAGACTTCAGCAAGCGTGGGGCTTGGCTTGGGATATTTTGATGTTCGTATAACAGAGACACACTTGCACAAATGCACTTCTGCAAAAAACCTCAAATTCTACTTGACTAATTTCTTGTACCATGCAAACAAGTACAAGCCTCAAAAGGAAAACCTCAAATGTGATGACTGAAATCAAGTCACAAATTGAACCACCACAGACAATGCACAAACTCCACTTGCTCTGGGGAAGACCCTACTCAGAGAATGCTCAAGTTAAGCCATGTTCCAGGCACAGGCAACAATTTTCTCTTCTCATACTTTCACACTTCTATTTGCACAGACCTTAAAAATAAACAGCAATTGCATTTGCTACAGGAGTCATGAGCATCAAAGCAGTGTAACCAAGCAGCAGCTGGCAGAGCAAGGCCACCAGTCTACTCAAAATTTCAGCAGTATTGTAGTTAGTTCTACATTTGGTCAGTTTTGCCCATTTTTATTGATATCATTTTTAGCTAAACTGTTACCTGACTAAACTGCTCCCCAATTCACATAGAGATTTATCATCTCAGTAAAGAACTTCTTGTAGCTGCTTTATTCCTTTGTGGTAAACCTGCAGGTTTTTGGGTTTGTCACTAACTGAGTATTTTCAAGATAAGCAGTCCATACAATTCTGTAATTGTAAAGGTATGAATTTAAGGTGTGCTGTATTTGCAGATGTTCTTTAATTCTGAAAAGTGCCTTTTCAAGGTAATGTATCTGGCCAGGTACTGCTGATGACTTTGGGTACTTTTCATATAAGCTGCACTTTAATCAATTTTGTGCAAGAGCACACTCTCGAGTGCAAAATTACTGTAACTGTCAATATCAAGAGAGCATCAATCACAATGCAGTTCAACAAGTATTAACAGGTGACAGAAGTAAAATACTGCTCATTGTATACATCAATAAAGATAATACGGCCATTTAATTTGAAGAAATAATGCTCAAAATGTAGAATTACATTACCTTCTGCATGCACATGTCAGCTATGATGGACAGAGGTATTGTAAGGCTTAGAGCAAGTGTGCCGATCAGTGATGAGGTAAGAAAGCAGCCCCTGAAAGACAATGAAATAATAAGTTATAAAATAATAATGATAATAAATAATAATTATAATACAAAAGTCTTACTTAGACAAAGTAACACATCAAATGAGGAAGGCATTTGATCAAGCTTAACAGTCATTGTTTGTTTTAATAATCAAAAATTAAAGCTCACGCGCCCACACTCCATCTGTGAAACTGCTTACAATTCCTAACTAGACAATTGATGTCTTCTGGGGTGAGGTTTAATTCCCATATAAACCTTTTGAGATGATGGAAAATTCCCTACTTCACATTCTTTAACTTCATCTAGAAAAATTTGCATTTTGCTTCTATACCATGGTTCTCTATAGCACAAGAGAATACTCCTGTATCTCTGCACTGTCTGCTTCTGAATTAGAACCAACCTGTCCACCAGAAAACTGTAAATGAATAAATGGCACAGAAACCTATAAAAACTTATCATCAGGTTAAAAAAACCCTTAAAATTAGGAGTCATATCTATCCCTTCATTAAATAGTTGGCAGTATGTGGCTGGGTGGAGTAAACAAGTAGGTTAAATGGCATTATTTACTTCCAAAGAAAGTGAAGAGGACCATACTAGTGGCACACTGGACAGATAAAAGGAGGATGTCAGCACAAGCCCTGAAATTAGTCCCAGTCCAAAACTCTAGGAAAAAGGAACTGGATTATCATTCTGAGTAATAGCACAAAAAGAAGACTGTGCACACCCATGTACTTAACCCCATCCTAATACTTGATTTTGGGACCAGAGCCAATGTTTGGGGTTTTGGGAAATTTTGTTTGTTTGTTATTTCACCTATATTAAAATATTGCACTTAAACCTTTTTACTAGATACTGAGCTGCAGTGTAATCTTACAGGATGGCATTAACATCACAAAAATATTCCATCAATAAACAAGTTTAATTCAAAGGAACAATGCATATATAATTAGGACTGGTGTAAGAGTTTGCCAATAAACAAAAATTATCATGATTAGATTTCCTAAATAACTTTAAACTCAATCTGAAAAAAAACCCAAAAAAATAAAAAACAGACAAAAAAAAAATCCCCACCCCCAAAGAAAACAAAAAGGTTTTCATGGAACTCCACCTACATCTTTTGTTGCAGTACTGTCACAGAACTGTTACAACAGAAATTCATGCTCTCCTATTGCTACAGCAACTCTGTACCACAAAGGGTTTTTGTCTCAAAATGTCAATTCTAAAATGAGCTATGCACACAGGATTTTAATAAATACTACAAGACCACATCACCTGCTTTTTAAAATTAGCTGTAGCTTTCTAACAGGACACTGTGACATGATGGGTGACATCCTCTAACTTAAGCTGCATATATGGACAGAAAAAATTTTAAAAACAAAGCAAAACCACCTACCCAGACAATCTGACATTTTGACATGTGAGAACACAGGTAAGATAATTTATGTGAATCATATTCAATGTATGTAGTACATACCACAGCCAGAGGAACTCTGACAGAACTGTTCCAATAAGGCCATTAATGACAATGCACATCCATATCAGTTTGTTGGGAAACTCAAATGCTTCAAACCCGGTATAGTGAAGCAGGAAGAACCCTGGCCACAGCAGCAACAGATTGAACAGCCCTACAAAACCTGAGTATAAAAACAGTTTTAAGTAAATCGCAAAGAATATCCTTCAACATAACCAAAATCTCATCTAAACTCTGACAACATGCATACAAAAAACCCAAGCAATGAAGCAGCATTTTAAATCTTTCAAATGAAATGAATATAAGAAACTTCACCTGAAATTCACAAACAAAAATTGCATCAGATATTTACAGGTTTTAAATTGAAAATAAAATAAAATTTTAGAATTTCATTAAGTCAAAGGGGCTGTCTGCATTCCCACAGGTAGTGTTACCACTCATTGTTAAGGCTTTAAGCAAGAAACAATCCACACAACCAGTACCTAAAGTACTCCTAACAGGAATAACAGGCTTTCTCTACTTCCTTGGTTTTTCTAAGCCCCTGATACACAGTTCAGTGCCTGAGAACAAACAATTTAATTACACATTGAATTAAAACATTGAATAGAGTTATTTTTAGTCTTACCAAAGAACATTGGTATGTCAAGTTTATCTTCTCTATCTACTTTCCTTTTTATCATTACTATGTACACAGCATATAGCATTGCTCCTACAAGAGACCACAGGGAACCTGGAAAGATGGAAAAAGACATGCTAAGCATGTTAGGCACAGTAGGATCAACTCCCCTAAACACACATCTATTACAAAACCATCACTCAGAAACTGCTTATTACAGAATCCCTTAATATATGAAAAGCATGGAAAAATGTAGAGCTCAAAAATGTAAATACTTTCCCAATTAAGCTATATACATAGGGTGGAAAATTATCATAAATGACAAGTTTCAGAAGTTCAAACTAAAAAGCCAGATTGTAGAAGGTTACATGAGTAAGAAATATGGAGCTTGCTATATGACTACTTAGTACTGTCAGAAGATGGTACTCATCACTGCATGATCCAGGATTAAAAACCATAAGTAAATACCTATTGTATCTTTTCCAGTAGATTTTTCAGATCCAGAAAGGTTAACAAGTACCACACCACCAATGCTAGTAAAAGAAAAGAAATGCAAAAGGCTTCTTAAACCCAGGAACTTTTTGACAAATACAGAAAAAAAAAAAGAAAGAAAAACATAAAAATACAGTTCTATCTTTAGGCATTTTTATTTAATCAAAACCCACTTCTGGAAAGCCAAAAGGAGTTCTCTATTGCTAAGGCCTGATCCTAAGCTAAAATCAAACCAACCAACCCCGCTTTTAACATCCAGAATAAAATAATACACCAGGCATTTAATGAAACAGGCTGACAACACTGAATGTCAAACCACTTCCTTTTTCCCCATTTACACAAAAATAAAATAATTAAACAAGAAGAAAATAAGTTCACTTATTTCCAAGAATAACCTGGTTAATTTAATTTCCTACAGGAGAATGAGATTTGGTAACTGTTCATGATATGAAGTATTTAAAAAGATTTAATTCAACTTGCTCAATTTATCTGTAAAATGAGCATTTTTAAGAAAGTGATGTGTAGAATTTATGGTCACAGATACCACAAGTATAGTAAGGTATAGTTGTCCTCTCACTGTATCAGACAATTTTTGACCAAATGTTCTGTCCCATTATCTTACCTTAAAATAACAGCTAATAATTTGGACAGGGTAAACCGATCTCCACTGTTACTGGGAAAGACTGCAGCTAAGATTAATGTAAAAAGCCCTGCAAGAGAAATTAAGAGAAGTTTATAAAATCATGTTTTGCCACCAGTTTGTTCAGAAAACTGCACAGACATTTTCTTCTTTATATTTCATGTACTTGTTTTAACTACGTGTTCTTAACATCCTTCATTTTAGTCAGAACTGTTATGAAAATTAACACCTTGTGATGTGAATCCTCAGATAAGCAAATACATGCTCAGTTCTGAAAAAGGCCAGCCATACTAACAAAATAAACTGCAATAAGTCAGAAAAGTCAGTGACAGATTGTATAATTCTGTTTCTAAAACTAACTTTATAAAACAAAAAAAGTTAATTCTCCAAATATGTACTGTCACATAGTTTAAATACTCTAAAGCTTGTATTAGAGCCTTGCATAAAACCTGTAAAGCAAATGATATGCATAATATTTAAGTGGTTTAAGTTCTTTACCTCTAAACCCATTTTTTAAAAAACAATCATTAGCGAGAAAGCTTTGCTCTGAATCTATTTTGATAAACAGTTATACCACCTTTCCTTTAGAGCTATTACAGTCTTAAAATATCTTTTTAATACACAGACATAACTGCAGAAATACACACACGAACTCAAAAAGTAGGAGAACATGAAGGTACTCTAAACCTCTGCAAATATAAAATGACTTTCTTAAATGCACATATTCAATGGCTTTAAGCCAAAACCACAGGTAAAACATTACACAAGTCCATTGTAGCCGAATAGATTTTTATGTTATAAACAGCCTTAGAAGGCACATCTGGTGGTGTAAATAAATCTTACCAGAGGTTGATGACAAGATATTAACTATGGCAACTTGGGTATCTGACAGAGCTTCTTGGTAAGAGAAATTTGCCAAGAACCACTGGGGAAAAAGAAAAATAATTGTGTTATATGAGTAGCAGCAACAGAGCTTAAGTTGCTCAGCGCAATAAAATTCTACTTAAAGCAAAAAAACCCCCAACTGGTCATCCAAAAATAAAATCAGAACATGATTTTTACCTTAAAGTGATTTCTAACTTCTATTAAAGGGGAAAGTACATTAAAAGATAGCAGCGCACTTAGAACTAGCCCAAACCAACCATATAAAAGTACATGTTTAATAATGAAATAACATTCTTCAGAACCTAAAAATAATTAAAATGACATTATAATAGCTATTCTGTAGTAACTAAAGGTACTTTTAACTTGTTTTGGAAGTGCTTCCAGATGATAACTGCGCAAGAGCTGCAAAGAAATTTCAGGAATGCATGGAACATTAGTCAGCCTAATGAGTTTAAATTTTTAGAGTACTTAAAACCCTGGACACATCTCTACTGTAAAAAGCAAGCATCACTTATATTCAATACCTAAAAAATATTTGTTATTTCTCTCATAAAGGAATAAAATGGCAAGTGTTTACTCATTTATTCATTGAGATCTCATTAATAAGATCTCAGATATATTCTGAGGGAAGTAACCACTCTCTAGTCTTAGTGGAAATATTCATACAGCCCAAGAAGAAATACATATACGTGCCAGTAACAGCCTGAACAGCATAAACAGGATTTGTTTTGAATATGAAAACACTACCCTAGAAAAAATTAAATTACCATTTTCCAGCAGTGTTATTATTATTGATGATGACAGTAATAATAATAATGTTTAAAGAGCAGTACTTCCTGAGCAAAAGCCGTGGTGGGTCCACATTACATAGAACCTATTTGGCAGTATCAGTGAAGCTGCTTCTGGAAAAGGTGTCACTGATCTGCTCTCTACATTTTTACTGTCTCAAAAATCATGCCACTGTTACCTCTCTCTCCCCCCAGAACTGAGGCATGATGCAGAAATATCAGCAACCAACAGATTCATAAGGAAATCTTGCACCTTCATGTCCAGCACCAGGAAAGCCTTACTTCCTATACTACATTTATGAAACAAGGCTTTAAGAATACAAGTCACCTCAATACTTTTTCACTAATATTATACAAGTTTTAATTATATTTATGTGTAAGTTTCTGAAAGAATGGAGAACATACCACAAAGCAAAAGAAAAAGCTAATTTTTGCTACTTGAGTTGCAGTGAGTTTTCCTACAGTTTTTAATATTGATTCCTGCTCCTTAACTGTTGGATATGACATGCGAGACAACTTGGCTTCCAATGCATGGCTTGATGGGAGCTGTCGGATCTCCATAATATTACTGAACCTTACACGAGGCTTTTTGGGAGCTGGAGAAGGAAAAAAAAAGAAAGAAAAAAGTTTCATATTATCATTAAACTTCTTGAGCCGACACAACATGTAAACAAAACCATCATGTTCCAATACAGCATTGATTACAATGCTACACAAATAACAGGTTTTTATCCAAATAGAAGACGTGCCATTATTTTTTACTAAACGCTAGTATTTTGCTATTCAAGAAGCTACTAATAAGACAAAGCACAATTACTGTTTTCAATCAGTACAGTTGTCCACCCACAAAAACCTCACTGAAAAGCATCATCTCTGCTCCCTGTCAAAAAATTCAACATAAGGTAACAACAAATTTTTAGATAGGAATTATTCCATATTGATAAAATATTACACATAAGATTTTCATTAATTGTTTAGTAGCCAAACAGCCCAAACTTGCACACAACTACACCTAACTGTAAGGATAATGTTTCATTCAGAAGATGAGAGTCCAACAGACCTCAAAGCTTAGCAGAGATCATAAAGTCACTTGCCCTTTTGAAAACCACCCTCTAACTAATCTTGCTAACCAGGATCAGCTCTTATTCATAAGTGTATTGTAAGTATCAACAGTTTTCTGTGTAAAGAAAACATTACACTACATGTAAATGTTATCCTAATTCAATATGAAAAAATACCTTATTTCCTAAAAAATGTGAAGGGAAAAGCTATGGCTTAAACAACTCTGAAGTGATTGGAGCACGTTGTCACAGGACAGCAGGGGCTACCGAAGTGGTTCTTAACATCTAGAAATTAAAGAAGAGACTTTGCCTTTTATAAGCAGGGACTCTTTTGCTGAGGATCAGATAATTGCCTTCTTTGACAGTTAACTTGTCTACAACTGTCTGGGACAATTAGGCCTGTTTCAGATACTATCACAAGATAGTGAGGTTTAAATAAAATCAGAATGCACATAGACTGTTAAAATTCTTACTTTGACTGCTTTGCTCCTGCTCTAAAAAGGACAATAGCTTGTTTTTCCAGAGGCTGACTCACTGCTGCTGGTCATACAAGCCCAGAAGGAAAGAATCACAAGTATTGAACCCAGTTGGTCCCTTGAGATAAACATAGGCTGGATCTGTAGTGACCAAGAAAGGTAAACTGAACGACAGGCCTATGTTTTCTCTACCTGAAAGTAAATATATGAGACTGCAATTCATGCAATAAGAGATTTAAGGAAAGGGGAAAAAAAAAAAAAGGGGAAGGGAAAGGGAGAGGCGAGACCTGCAACATGACAGCAGTTATACTAAAGAGGAAAGTACTTCCTTCACCAAAGAACTAACATTTCAGCATTCCAAAAGTCTTTACTCACTTTTCTCTGCATCACTATTATTACTGCCATTTTTTTCAGTTGGCAAGTCATGAAACTTTACAGGAACATATAAAGGTTCACTCTGCAATGAATCAGTATAAGTAAAAATACAGTTAAGAGGGATATTTAAATTATAAGCAGTAGAACTAATCTAGCAAATTTGAAAACTAAATAAAGAAAAGCTTGGTGAACAGTAACAGAATCAAACTTAAAGTGAGTTTGAACACAGTGCATAGACTTGTCAAAAATGTGCACGCATAATGTATATAATATATTTGCACATGTTAGTAAAATGCAGTATTCAGAGAGAACACTGCACTTCTGTGTATATGGTCATGAACACAAAAATTATGACCAGGAAATTCAAACCTACTGATTTAAAATTATAGAATAACTGATCAATATCACAGATGTTTATTAGAACTATAATTTCTGTCCAAATTTTAAATTAGAAACATAAACTAGAAAATACAGAATATATATACAAAAATTACTATGTTCTCATTTTCTCACAAACTAGAACTAAACGTCAAAAAACTTTGGGAAAGGAACTCCAACATATAAGACACTTAGAAGTATTTTAAGCAATTAAAACTTCTGCTAACAAGACAAGTTTTAAACTGCTTGTTTAGATTGAATTAATAAACTGTAAGAGTCGTGCTGTTCAAACCATCACAAAGAGTGAAGTAATGGAAAAGATCTGGTAGTTGCATTTTCATTAGGCTCCTTGTTAAGGACTAGAATTTTTGTGGATGTTTAAATTAATGCAAAATTGTCCAAGATTCTAGAGTGTGGTGATCTGAACAAATCGGGCAGACTAAGATTTTATTCTTAAATGTAGATAGATAAAGTTGGGGAAAAAAAAACCCAACCAAAAATTAAACGAAGAATATGTCTGAAAATAATTCTTCAACTCAATTGCATCCCCCTATTCTGTTACAGAGATGGTGCAAACTTTAAAAGTTTTGTGGTTTGGATACATTTCTGCATGTGGCCCTCTGATTCAGGTACACTGATTAAGCAGTAATCTGTGATCAACAGGGGCATAACAAACTGCCATCTTTGGATGATGAAAATCACCCCAAAAATGCTGCCTGGCAGTGCAGCTTATCAGGACTGACACTGAAACTGAGTCTGATTCTCTCTCAAAATGCAATGCAGGATCACAGTGTACAAAATACTCCACTGATTGAATGATTCTGTTGTATATTTTAGACTTGAAAACTATTTGGCTTTACTACCAGCTCTCCATATGTGGTTTTGGCAGGTACTGAGCTGAATATTTAAAGGTTTCCTTTGTATGACATAGTATTTCTTTGACAAACTGCTACAGAAACATTCAAAAGTGTTTTATTGAGCTGAAAAACCTGTATTTCTTATAATAAGCCATGTCATCGTTTGCAGCACTTATTAGTAACACATAAGTTACCAATCCCCTTTGCCAAAAACTTTAACATTTAAGACTACCATATTTTAAAATCAGTAATTCAGGTTAGTGGTGCCATGTTATTGTAAAGCATTGATCTTCACAAATTCAGGCACTTACCAGAGAACTGTTTACAGTGTTATCTGTTGTACAAGCAGCAAAATAACCTTCAGCATCTGCAAACTAATTACAGAACTTTAAATGTAATAAAAACTATCAAGGTAGAGTTATTAACAACTGAATTTTTTTCAGAATAAGTTTTTTAATTACTTTTTCCATATTTCTGTCACAATTCCCTCTCTCCCCTCAGCCCTCCTCCCCATTACCAAGAGGGCTTACAAGTTCAGTAAATAATTTTGGTATTTCCTTGTATCTCTTGGAGAACCCCACTGAATTCAACTACTCAGGTATGAATGCAGGATGAGGCTGTTAAGAAAGCCAAAACCTGTTAAGTTTAGTCTTAGCAAGACAGGCTTCACATGTGCAGGAATTAACAACAAGCTGCTTCTTTCTTCATTTTACTGAGGCAGAGTTTCTTTGCTTAAAAATGTGGGACTCTGCCTCAGTTTTAGCAACACTTAAATTACGATGAGGTCAAGTACCACTTTCCCCCTTTCATTCTGCACCATACCAACCCCTGTTCCCTGACCTGCAGATTGCTCTTCTACCATTATCTATTAAACAAAGGTAGCAATCTATTAAACAAAACCTCTAATATGGAAGAGGACTTAAATGTAAGGTGTGAGTTTTTACCCAAGCAATCACTATTGAAACAAAACCCTATAAATGTATTTTTGTTCCAGATTAATAAACACAAGGAATTTTAAAGACACTTATAATGATTATACAGTTGAATATTTAACTACACTCCTTGGGAGGGAGGGAGTCTTCTAACTTCACACTACAGTCCTGTCTGCACTGTTCTTTTGAAATAGACTAAGATCAAAGTAATGGCTATTTCCTACAAATTATTTTAATTTTTTTTTTTATAGGATTAGAAAGGAAAAATAGTGAGATTCCAGTAGCAGTGTCATGAGTGCCACACACGTGACAGACTGAGCACTCTTACTCATAGCTGTCCAGTTCATGAGATCATACTATCTCTCTTAGAGAGAGCAGTGCACAAGATTCAGCTGGTCAATGTAACCACTACAACTCACATTAGGCAGCATCTTATTCTTATTACTCTACTTATGTGCTCAGATTAATAAATTTGATCAGTATAATTGTTCTGCACATCACCCTAATTTGACATTACTGCCAATAAAGAAACTGTAAGCTCTGTTTATGTCCTGATTATCTTATGAAGATCCTGAAGAACATCAAGTCTAACACGTGCCATACTATGCACAGACACTTGGCATTGATCTAGCAAAGATTATGTCAAGATATCAGCCATCTGTAAATGTTCTTTGTGTTTAACTCAAAATCTGAAACAAAAACCCCAAAAAGTTTATTTTTCTGGGGTTATTTTTGTTCTTTATGGTCTGGGTTTTTTTAAATAAAAATAATTTGGCTAAAAGTCATGTAATGTTTAAATTTAATTATGACAGTGTCACTATCAGTGCAGTTTAATATATCCGGAAGATCTGAAGTCTGTTCCTTTCATATAAGCTCATTTCTATAACAACATGTTGATTAACAGCATGTTCTTGGATCACATTTTCTGTTCTTTTAATGCAAGATTAATATCAGGCCAAATGCCTCACTGCTTCCTGAGTCCTGCTGTTCAGCATTCTGAAACACTGGCACAGAACAAGTGCCCTTCCCAGCATCTCTTAATTTCCTTGCAAAAAAAAAAAAAATATTTCTGTCATATAACAATAATTTTAGACTCTAGCACAAACTATGCCTAGCTCTAGAATGGACAAAGGAAGGTCACTCACGCATAAAGGCTATAAAAAACCAGTATTAACAACAACAAAAGCATAATTCTATCACCCTTACTAAATATAACTTCAAAACCCTCAAAACCTCTTAGCAAACAGTTCATAGTTGTGCCAGAGACAAAAAGAGTCAGTACTAAAAATCAACTACAGAGTCCAAATTCTGATTCCATTGCTTACAGTTGTAGGGGAAATAAAAGAGAAGCAACAGACAGCAGTGGTGAGGCTTATTAGCTCTTCTTAAAAGGAATTATATTCAGCAACTGTCCACAATTAAATACCAGGTTAGACAGGCCAATGGTCTGGCCCAGTAAAGCATTTCTTATGACTCCTGGCACATCTCGTATTGCTTTTTCCTTTCCTTTCATTCTTTCACAAGACAACTATGACTGCCATGTCCTCCTGTGCTAGGATTCAGTTTATAATTCCTTTTCTGAAAGTACTATTTCATAAATATGTAAACTTTGTTCCTCTCTAGTCCCTATTTTAAGCTTTTATTCATACAAACTTAAACAAATACCACAACATTTACAGAGTTATGATACTTACAAAGGCTGTATGCCTTCCACGAAACCCACGAGTACACTGTTGCCTCCATGGTTTCCAAACAATAAATCCCAAGAGGTATAGAACAAACATGGATGTTTTTGCAAACGTACTGAAAAAAGGTTTGTTGTACTTTGTAAAAACATACTGTGGAAAGAAAATAAATGTAGTATCCAAAATTACCAAATAGGTGAGAATTCACAAAAATGAATGAACAGGTGTGAGAATATACTCCAGAACAGTATATTTGTTATATAATATACACATATATATATATATATACATATTTTGGTTCCCAAAAAGACAGCACTATGAACATTGGCAGGGATGACCAAAACAACCACGTGCCCTACTTGTTCTGGGGGTACCCCCTTCCAAGCTATTTCTACTGCCAACAAGAAGGCACTGAGCCATTTTGTAGAACATAATGCCACCAGAAAAAAATTATTTATTACTTGTATCTAACCGAATAATATATTTATATGCCACTGAACTCAAATAGGTCTGAAAATACATTTATATACAATATTTTCTAAATTAAAGACCCCTTTTGTAAGCAATAATACAGTAATCAAAAATTAGAGAAGATTACTTTGATTAAGTAACATTTCAGTATCAATAGCGATTCCATTGGCTCACTGGAAAAAATGTTTTATTAATAATAAAACATGTTAAGCACAAACATTTGTATATGTTTAATTTCAAGACTGATATAAAACATAACAACTTAAAGACAGTTCAGAAACCTGAATTTGATCAGAATTTATTAAAAACTCAATTTCCATTGCTAAAGCTCTATTTTAAGTCCTAAAACTTAACAGGAAGCAAATACCACAAAGTTTCAATATGGTGAAGATATGAACTAGATGCAATTACAAGGCTTAAACTCCTTTTATCCTGGACTTCTATGTGCCCTGATCTACAATCCACCACCAGCCTGCCATGTTACACCTTGTTTACTACTTTCTGGGAAACATATGGGCATTATTTTAAACATTATGGCAATAAACAAAACAAACTCCCTATTTACAGCACGTAGTTATGAGCTTACGCTGTTCTATTTTAAAGTCATCAGTAACACCTTCTGTCTCAAAAGCAGCAGTCACTGAGTTGATCTTACTTGTAACTTTTAGTGGATACAGGCTGGTTCACTAACCCAAAGGGTATCACCTTCCCCGTACTGAAAAGGTTAAACATTACACAACACCACCCACCGAGCGTTTGAGTGACTACGTTTCTGCTGCATCTTTCTCTTCAACAGGTTTCTATATTCGCTTTAAGATGTGTGGAGCAGTACTTACAGAAGTGAGTTCTGAAGAGGCAACCCATATCACATCAACGAGGAGGAGGATGACGATTCCCAGAGCCAGTCGCCGACGCTGAGCGGATGAACTGCTCTGGGAGCTCATTCGGTTCATGATAAAAACCCACACCATTTGTAACCTGGTTAAGGTCAATAAAGAAACAAACACCAAAAGATTACAAACAGTGACACAGAAAAAACCCCCAATAAACACCAGGACAAGTGTTTCATATATGTGAACTGGGCCCATATGTAAGTACAAATATGCTTGTGCTTGCTAAAAAGCAGATCTTTGACAGATATGGCATGAAATTTTCATTGGGGCAATCAGAAAGTAAATCTTGACTTTTAGAGAATTTATCAACTGCTCTAGCACTGAAAGTAAGCACAAGTAGGTAACAGATACAATGCCTTTTTGGAATTTCTAGGTTACAAGTTCTACTAAATTTGAAACTACTATATTTTGGTAAATTCAGATACCTGACAGTAGAAATAAGTTTGGTGTCTTGGGTCAAATATAATTCTGCTAAAGGTAGTCAGAAACATGTTTAAACTAAAGTATTCAACAAACATTTCCAAAGTCATAGCAGGACATATGGGTAAATTATGATCCCTCAAACCATGAAGAGTTTAAAAAAAAAAGAAGAAACATTGATTGTAAACTTAAAAGTCACCTTTACAGAGCAGCTCTTGATTTTCCCAGTAAATAGAGGTGATCTACTTTGCTAACAGTTTGATGAATTTAAATTAAACTTTGTTTTTTCCACGTGTCAACTTACAAATACTTACTATCTCTTCATTATTTAAAAACTATTTATGAAAAAGACAGTGTCACAATGTCTTCAGTAAGGAAGCTCCATTTCTTTTTTCCAGAGTAGCCTGTTCCTCAGATTAATGATTCAAATGCCCAGATATGCACAAGTATATTGGAGATAATGGTTTTGTTTCCTGGTTTGACTCATGCCTCTCCTTTACAATACAGTTTCTGCCATGTTCAAATCTTGATGCTTTTTCCTCCATTTCTCAAAGGGCTTCTTTCCAAAGAAAAATGAACAGGCAGAGTTCCTGAAGTGTAATTATACCACTAGATCTATGCTGACATATTCCATGTGTGGGCATCAGTTCTGGATAATTACTCTGCTTTCCTGACAGAATGGCAGGATTGACAAAAGAAAGCAGAAGTCTGTAAGTAGGGAGGGGCAAAGTTATGAAAGGCTCAGCAAGGAATTACAGTTTTTACTCGATAAGGAATAAAGGAGGAACATTTGTTCCCAAAGAGAGAAGAAATCGGTGTATTAAACTCGAGCAAACTAACAGAAAGGTTTTCATGCTTGAAAGCTTATAAAGGTTTTTTCAGGTTTTATGAATTGGTCTAATAGATGCTACATATTATACTCTACAAACTTTGCCTTCATTTTATTATGACTAACAGCCTATGAACCATTAAGTTATATTATATACAGCCTAAAAATTGCTCATGTGGTTGCATAATAGGAAGCAAAAATGGAAGGTGGGCATGAAAGGGTTCAAATGAGCTGGAGGGAAGAAATGTCATACCATGTCAGGCTACAGCACAATTCATGAACAGTATTAAGGTGTACTAGAAATGGAACCCACTCCTGTCTCCCACCAGTTACGTGCTGCAGGAAGGAGGGGGAGATACAGCTGGAGACAGGAAGGAGCAGCAGTAGCCTGATAAACTGGATGTCTCTACATCAGATGCTCACATCTACAGCTTTTCTGTTCTCACCACAAACTGCTTCAAAGGGTATAGCACATAAACACTGTGAACAGAGATCATGCAAAGATATTGAGCACAGTCTGTAGTTGCTCAGTATTGTACTCAGCTTGTCTACATCAGGCTTTGTACAAATCCCTTGCTCGAAGGTCCCTCAGCAGGAAGGAAGTAAAGAATGATAGAATATCCACTACTTCTTAGAGAAGAAGTTACATATAAAGTTATTCACAGTCTAACTACACACTGCACCATTTCTTTTGTACTCACGATAAGTAGGTTCTAAAATTCTAAATAAAGAGCCCATAATTATGTCTTGAAGTTGAAATTTTTTGTATGTTACAGTAAGAGTAGCTATTACTTTCCATCTGACTACAAAGTGTCTGTTTAACATTTCTGTGTGCCTAATATAGCCCTTTGCTTGATTCTTCCATAACAAGGTAAAAAGCTTATGGAGAAAGGGTGAGTACAAAGTCCTCATTGTGCAGCACGATGCACCTTCAAGCTACAGGCAATACTTAAAACACCCATAATGCTCAGCAGAAAAACAGAACCCTATGGAAACTGATATACTAAATTTTAGGACAGGATTAAAAACCTGTAAAACATCACACAAAATGCAAAGACAGATAGAAACTACTATTTTGAGAAGTTTTAGACAGATACATTGTCCTACTAATTAACAAAGTGCCAGTACTGATGAACTGGCAATGACATACATCTCCACACATTTCTTTTTGTTTGGTTTCTGTACATTGAGGGCAATATGGTCTGACAAAAATAAACACAAAAGAATAAGATTTACTTTTCTCATACATACCTTTCACAATAACAGTAAAAGAGAAAGAAAAAATGCTGACTAAAAAGCTTCACACATCATGTCAAAGTGAAGATAGTCTCCTAAAATGAAAAAAAAAAAAAAGCAAAGTTTAAAACATTGTGTACATGTGTATATTGCATGTCTCTTTGAAAAACATTTTCTAAAATGTTGAGTTCCATAAGTTCTGCTGCAGCTCAAGTCCTAAGTGTTGAGGACAGACAGGTCTACAACTTTAAGAATCGACCTTCATAAAAAATGCTAGGACAGTATTGAATCACAAGAAAACAGCTTTTTTAACTTTACTACTTTTGATATTTCAAAGAACATGATCCCTTCCTTATTAATTAAGGAGGTTCACATGAGAAACAAGGGCCTGATGACATTAAATTCTGATTTTTTTAAGCTATGCAGAGAAAGGTTCTATTGTTAAGCCCACATTCCTAAGCAAAGAATCTAAACGTTAGAGTTAGGAAGGTAGTGGAAGAGTGTATAGGCTTTTTGCCCTTAATATACTCTAGAAACATAAGGCATCTCCATGTTATGTCTTGTGGAAACCTACTGAACTCAACATTTACACACTGCTCAACAACCACCAAGTTCAAACCTTTTCCACACAGTTTACCAAATCACTATAGCTGATTAAAAAAAAAAGGGCAACAAAAAACAATAAACAAACAAACTGGAAGATGTATTTTGCATTTTTAAGACACAAGCATGTGATTATCCATCTCCTATTCCACAAAGCCTAAGCTCACTGTAGATCCTGAACACCTGTTTAGTTCAGTGCCCTCACATACAAAGAGTAGCTGCTAGTCATGTTTTCCTTCTTACACTACCAACCCAATTAGAGATTAAGATCAGTATCTCAGATAACCAAGACTTAAACCAGAAGACTTTTATTCATACAAAGCTCAAACAGTTTGAACATGACCAATTTAGGCACCCAAAAGAACCAAATATAACAATAACAAAAATAAAAAGAAAGCAATACTTAAAAATTCTTCCCTCCATGTACACTAACACAGAGATCACTAAGAGAAAGATACTATTCATTTGCTTACTTCTCGCCCCTACTTAATCCATGTTTTAGTTATATTCAAGTGACCAGGTACAGAACTTGCACCTAAATTCAGTTGTTATGCCAGACACAAACCTGACCCTTTATCAGCACGCACAATCTACTGTGGGCTGTTCTCACTGGAGGTGATCACACAGAACCCTGTTCACTGTTTATTACCAATAATTAGCCCATTTCAGGATAAGGACAAAGGTTTAGCATATTGACATAACATCTGGCACCTAAACCAAGAACTGCTCAAGACATTTCTCCCTAAGAACATGGCTTTACCCTTACAAAAGTGCACAAGTTATGATAAATTTAAGCCACCAGAAGACATATAGGCTGAAATAGAAATGACGGTTTAAAAGTATTAAATACAGCAGAAACTTCAGCATGTTCCCCTTTCCATTATGAGGAAATAAATATGCTTTCCACATGGTGTAACTTTAAATATACCACTCAAAATTTGACATTTAAAGGAATATTCATTTAAAAGGCATTTCTTGATATCGTTATCATTTTCAGCAAATAGCATGGAGATCTTCTAAAGTGTTTTTTTTATTCATTTATTTACCATTTCCACAGTCTTAGATTTGGTGCTGTCATCTTGTGGAACCATTTTTAAGCCAGTTACATGAAGATCTGAAAAAAAAAATTAAAAATATACTTAACATTTCTTGTCATGACACTCTACTTTGGTTTTAAAATGTTGCAGTATTTTAGATCATGTAAGCAGAGTCACTGCTTTAATTTATGATACCAAAAAAAATACAAGAAATGGTCTCATTATGTAGTCTACAATGTATGTTCACATAGATGATTGCACTAAAGCCACCAGGCTCAGCAGCCTGTCAAACTCTGCTGTTCCAAACATGCAACAAGCAACCTCTGAGGGCAGAATGTATAACTGCATCATTGACACTTCATGTGTAATCTTATTTTAATAGCATTAAATATTTCTTTGTGCAGATTATCACTTTTCCACATTAAAAGTTCCACCCAAAAAAAAGAAAAATCACATGAAACTCACAAATTATGAAATCACTTCTATTGCATTGACAGTTAGGGAAGAGAACATTATAAGCCAGAGAACTGCCAAATAATTGCAAAACAGAAGTATTGCATCTGGCTGTTCTATGAGGAAAATACAGCCCCTCCTGCCCCAAAAGAAAAATAAAAAAATCAAAGAGTACATAACAAGAATGACAAGAGACCGAGAACAGCAGCTCAGTCACAAACCATGGTGCGAGCAAGTCAACTTGAAATTCTTCCTTGTATTTACTCAAGATTATTTCATATACAATTCGAAAGACAACATACAAGATAAGGCTTGCATACAGAAGAAATGGGTTTGGTTTTTCCAGTTATACCAGCTGCTCCAATAATACCAGTTCTAGGATACAACCTCCTCCCCCCTTTGACATGTGCTGTCATCAGGTGATTCTTGTTTCACATTTGATTACTTTTGAGATAAGATAAACAGAGACACTGCTTTCACTCCAACCAGAAAAAATCTGAAAGTAAACTCATTTTACACCTATAGGAAATGTACATTAAATCAATGTTAATCTAACACAGCCCTGACCTCCACTAAAAAGGGTGTCACGAGATGAGAAAAAAGGCAAGAATCTCCAGGAGAGGTGGAAAGCTGAGCCTTATGCAACACAACTATTACATTCACTACAGCCCTGTCATTTTTACTCAAAGAAAGTTTCCTGTAGGATCTTTAAAATATAGTGAAGCAAAAGATCCAGAAAACAAGAAGCCAAGTTTTCCATGCCAGTATTGAGTACTGCAACAAGAGATCGCTGTTCCTAGCTAAGTAAAAAGTTATACAACACCAAAGTTTGAACAGAAAGGACGTTAATTGTATTACCAAAACAAGAGAATTTAGCTTAACATAAAGAGACATTTTAGGAATCTGGCACTACACAATGTAACAGTTATACTGTCAAACTGTCATGGCACAGCTGGATCCTGGTATCTAAGGATAAAAAGAACACCTGAAATTCAAGCTTCCTATCCAGTACTTACCCAAAATTCATGAAACAACGTTTCTTACATAGAACTAGTAACACAAAATATTAACCTATTGCATACTTCAGAGTCTTTACCAGCTACCAGAGTATCCAAGCACACAGTTCTCAGTTCGTTCTCATGTCACCCCAGCAAGGCTGTGACCGTCGGACACGAACAACTCGGACCGCACTGAGTTAGAAACACACAAGTTTCAGGTCTGCAGAGTGAAAGCTGACAATGGAACTGACACTGACCTCCTTCTCCTGCTCGTCCAGGAACATCAGAAGAAAAAACCCCATGTCAAGCTGCCAAGGTGTTACCACGTACCAGGCAATCTCGAGCCACCAGTAGCTATATATTTAACATCAGCTGAGGATTACATATGACATCCCTTTCACATGCTGCAGATCTAATCTTGTCTAGGGCAAGGACTAAACATATCTGCTTTGTCACAGGATATACAGCCACGTATCCCTGATAAGGACCAGCAGGGCAGCTTTCAACGGGACACTGGCAGCTGAAAGCTGAGCCCTCCAGGCACAGAAGAAATCGGCAGAATCACCACACTCAGAGTTAAGGGAGGGTCTCCTCCTTCCTTCCTGTCACTGGTATCTTTGGGGGAAAGTAGCGGGAAGAGAGGGAAGGAAATGAGTAAGTCTCCTTAATGCACTTAGAGAAAAGTGGATGCCTGAGGAGAAAGAAATGTGGATCAAGCCCTTGGGATCTTGGAAGAGGAAAGATAAGTATCCTGCACTTGCAGCTAAAATACCAGAGACCACTGGAGCAAAGAGAGCTGCAGCCCAAGCAGGGGGTGCACAGACCCCCCCCACACCCCAGGAGAGGCAGGACAGCGGTGCCAGCGCAGAATCAATGAATCCATCAGGTTGGAAAACACCCCTGAGATCATCAAATCCAACCTATGATCAAATACCACCGTGTCAAACAGAATATGGCACTGAGTGCCACATCCAATCTTTCCTTAAACACTTCCAGGGACGGTGACTCCATCACCTCCCTGGGCAGCCCATTCCAGTGTTTAATCATCCTTTCTGTGAAGAATGTCTTCCAAATGTCCAACTTAAACCTCCAATGGCACAACTTAAGACTGTGTTCTCTCGTCCTGTCACTGGCTGGCCGGGAGAAGAGCCCGACCCCCAGTCGGCTAAAACCTCCCGTCAGGAAATTGTAGGGAGCAATAAGGTCGCCTCTGAGCCTCCTCTTATCCAGGCTGATCCTCCGCTCAGCTCCCTCAGCTGCTCCTCAGAGGACTTGTGCTCCAGACCCTTCAGCAGCTCCGTTGCCCTTCTCCGGACTCTCTCCAGCTCCTCAGTGCCTTTCCTGCAGTAAGAGGTGACGGACTGGGCACAGCACTCGAGGTGCGGCCTCTCCAGTGCCGAGTTCAGGGCGGAATCACTTCCCTGCTCCTGCCACACGCTGGCTCTGGGCAGAGCGGGACCCCTCCGTACACACCCCCTCTATCCCGGGCAGGGGCTGCCCGAGGAGGGGAGCGCAGAGCGCCTTCCCCGCACCGCTGTCACAGGCGGACGGGGCCGAGGGGCGGCGGCACCGAGTCTCACACACACACACACACACACACACACACACACACACACACACACACACACACACACACCCGGCCCAAGCGGGAGGCAGAGCTCCCTCCCGGCCTCGCTGCCCGCAGCCCCGCGGTTTCTCTCTCCCCTCGGCCGGTCCCCCCCGACGGTACCTGAGGCCGCGCCGGGCCCGGCACCCCCCGCGCTCCGTCCGGCGGCGGCACCGCCCGCCCGCGCCGGACACCCCCAATCCATCGCCGAGACCGCGAGCGACCGCCCCTCCCCGCCCTCGGGACGGCCCCATCGAGCCGCTCGGCTGGCAGCTCGCCGCCCCTGCCCTGGCTGCGGGAGGAGATGGGCGGGGGGGGCCCGTGGTGAGAGCGGCGGGGATGGAGCCGGTTGTGTTCCCATCCCCGGCCGCCTTCCCATCCCCGGCCGCACTCCCCTTCCCGGTCGCATCCCCATCCCCGTCTCCATCCCTATCCCCATTCCCATCGCCGTTCCCATCCCCATCTCTGTCTCCGTCCCTATCTCCTTCGTCGTCCTCATCCCCATTCCATCGTCGTCCTCATCCCCTTCCCCGTCTGTATCCCCGTCCCCAAACCCTTCGTCATCCGCATCCCAGTCCCATCCCCGTTCTCATCCCCAGGACCAACCCCAACTCCATCCCTATCCCCGTTCCCATCCTGTCTGTCCTTTGGTGCTGTGCCAAAGGCTGAGGTCCCGGTGCCCGCACCGCGGTGTCCTCGGGCGTGGCCGGGGGCGGGCGGGAGCAGCTTCTCTCTATGTCCCGCTTGGAAACCCCGCTCCGCTGCCGGGAATGCCGCGCTGGGCTCCGGCTCCTCTCCCGGAGTCCTCTCCGGCCCGGCGGGAACTGGGGGACAGCGGGAAGAGCCACAGCGGGTGGTAAACCCGGATTTATGCTGGTCCCACCAGGCGTAGGACATCCCCTGCGGCTCCCGGGCAGCTGTTCCTCGGCTCCTGGGAGCAGAACTGGCTGTTCCGTCGAGATGGACCCATGGGAATGGGTAGAACAGCTCTGATGGAGGAGAACTCCCTCTCTATAGACGGGCAGTTATCTAGGATTTATACGGGCTTTTCCAAAGCACTGAGATAAGCAGGTCAAAAAAAAAAAAAAAAAAGGAAAAGAAACTAAAATCTGAAGGAATAGAGAAGGCAGAGGAAGAGAGCATGGACTGAAGAACTAGAGATGGAGAAGTGGGATGGAGCTTGAAACTAGTCTGTCAAAAAAAAAAAAAGGGAAGAAAGAAAAACCAACATCTGCAAGACCTTTGAGAAATGTCCTAAAATGCAGTGACATGGTGGAACCTTTATTTCATAGTTACCATAATCTTTACACTCTGTGGTACAAAATCTCACAGGACTGGGAAGTAGTGTCAACTAATTAAATTCTCAAAATGTCTGCTTCATAACACGCTTTTAATAGTATAAAAAAGTGAAATTGTGTAGATGTATAAGCTATATTAAAGCAGACTTTCCTTAAATTTGAGATGTGTAAGGTAGTGACTAACAAGCTGTGAAAGGAAATACTAGACAAAATGCACCAAAAATAGTGAATAAAAAGAACTATCATAGGCTTAGTTGAAATCGCAAAATCAGGTTCCGGTCTTGTTTCTGTTGGTTTTGTAGTCCGTGTTACCTCCTCGTAGTCAGTGTTGATTCGTATTTAGGAATTGAGCTCGTAATATCAACCTAAAGATAACCGGTGGTGTATGTCATGTGTTCCAGATTATTCGGTATTCACCTGCTAACAGAAATAAAGCTTTTTTTAAAATGTAACTACTACATATTTGGGGAATTTTACAGTAAAAACTGCTAGGAAATAATAGTAAGCAATGTATACATATGAGTAGAAAGGTAAATGATGTTAAATTGTAATTAGGTGATACATATAGTATAGCTGTGAAGTTATTAAGTGCTATTCATACTTACAAAGTGTTGAAGTCAAACATGATATTTCACCCTTCCTACAAGTTAGTGATTGAAAAAAATCCATTATCTCTCATATAAAAATGTCATGTCATCATCATCTGTCTGGGTATTACTGTTGGGTTTGAATTGTTTCCTATATATAAACAAAAGTTACTTCTTAAGAAGAAAAGAAAAAACTTTTAAGCACTTTTAGTCTCAAACTGCTTTGGGCTTTTTATGTGAGACTTAATTTCTTAATATAGCTGTACTTTAATTGGCATATAATATCCCTAAGAGACTTCTAACAAGCTTGATGCCTCATAAAACTGGTTGTTAAAAGTAGTAAGATACAATCCCTACCCTGAAGCATTTATACCATAAATGACACAAGGAAATATAGCGAATTACACTTTTGGTTCAAACTGTCCTTTTTTGATGTACTCTCGAGTGTATACATTAATAATGATAGTGTATTGATTTGTTGTGCTTCTGTCCTCACTAACTTCTACCTTTAAGCCAATATTGCCAAAATGTGCAGTATGGTGCTTTTATATGAAATTTTTTCCTTACAGCTTCAGAAAGAGATTTTAGGAAAAATGAATTTCTTAGACAAAGCTGCAGGAAAATAGCACTGCTCTTGAAATAGTACATTCTGTGGGATTTGTAGGAGCTGAAAATTACACAAAATGCAATGGCACAAATGTGTGTACATCTGACAGCATGTAATTTTGTTGGGTCTCCCAGATCTTTGCTTTAAGTATTTATAGTGAGACTCAGTAAACTTACATGGCTTATCCAAGGTCAGCCAGTTATTAAGCGGCGAAACCTGAGAAGACAACCAAAGAGTTATGACTACAGTACTCTGACAGAAAAACTACACGTAAGACTTCTTTATAGCTAATAGTGCTTTTACTAAATAATATATTGAAGAATATTATGCATAATTTATATTAAAATAGGGTGAATTGTATTAGAAAAAAAAAGAAAAACGCTGTGTTTGTTCTTGTGAACAGGGAGATAAATAAGGCAACAGGGACAGTTGAGATTCTCTGTCTTACCTGTTAATGTGTTGATAGAAAAGCTCTGGAAAAGGGGAATTCATCTTTGAGAACAAGCATAATAAAGCTTGGCTTGGTTTGCTGCCCCTGGAAAGTGTTGTCCCACAGTGAGTGGCAGTAGCTGGTGCTAGGGATAGCAAAATAACTGATATGCAGATTTTCTGTCTTTTCTTCCTTTGACAGTGGAAAGCACATGAAATCCCAACTGAATTAAAACAAACTTTCTGGGTGTAACTCCATGTGTCCTCTCCTGTATGTGAGTTTTCTTCTTTAGGAGGCTACACAGTTCGCATCTCAACATTGCAACACAGTTAAATCTACCTTGTCAATGTTTTGATTTTAAACATTTAGACCGGGGCAGGCAAACAGGAGAGAACTGCAGTCCTTAAAGTGGAGTGCCAAGATTCTCTTCATCACAGGATGAGACACTTGTGCTGTGGTTCCTGAAGCATTTGAAGAAAAACAGGTCAACATTGTCAGAAGCCCAGAAATTTGTACTTATTGCACTTAGAAATATTACAGGACTTCTGTATTTTTAGCTCTTGATTAAGAAATTTTCTTCCTATTGTAAAAGTTCACATGATGATCTTGTGTCTTCTCTGAAAGAAACTATTATAAGAATGATTTCCTTTTTTTTTTTTTTTACCGTTCCTTTTTTAGGAATTGGATTTTGGTAAATACACGTCATAAAACTATATGTATCTTGCAAATATACGCATACTGCATATTTATTTTTCTTGCTGTGCATATTTTAGTTACATAAATAGCACTTCTTATAGGCAAAGCAAAATTACATCTATTTCCCAGGAGCACTGTAATATTTTCATGAGATAAAACATCTAGTATTTTTTACAGACCTGATAAATTGCACTTATCAAGAGTATTTGAATTTAGTTTCTGCTCATATATGTTCTACTTAAAAGAACATAACAGCTGATTTGGATAAAATAGATGTGATCCCCAGAAGCAAATTTAATACTCTGTAGGTCTCATAATAGGTCTCTACAAATGAATTGAATCTACTTACTTTAGAGAAATGCTTCCTTCAAAAGGATTTGGAACAGATCTTTGATGAACAAGATATTCATGCTGATGAACAAGGCAAAGCAGCAGAAGAAACTGTAATAAAATTTAAACTGACAAAGTCAGTTTTGATCAACTTCTGTTCTCCTTAGAGAAAGGATGTAGTCTGTGTGTTGAGGACTAGACTTGGTGTAGGATGTATGACAGCAGAGTTTTCCCCTGTTCTGTTGGGTTAGATCAAAAGTCCATTTAGCTCAGAATCATCGTGTCTCCACATGACTCATAATGGATGCCTGGGAAAAATGGTGTTAGAAACAGGGGAATAGTTATTTCCATGGCACACCCTTCTAGTTTTTAGAAATAAATGGTTAACAGCATCCTTATCTGGAAGTCTGTAATTCAGCCACTGTATTTAATAGCTCTTGATGGACCTATGGTTTTGGCCAATCCCTTCTGTGAACCCAGTTATACCATAAAACATGAGCTCTTAAGGATTTATTTAGGTAGAGTCTTGTGATGTAAAAGAAAGTGTTTTGTTTCATTGGGTGTAGGCCACTGGTTAATAATCTTGTCACATAACTCATAATCCGTGTTCCATTTCACCTTCTTTGCATTATTTGAGTTTTAACATGTCTTATATTTGTCCCCTACTGCCCTTGAGGTGTCCTCACATCCTGTATCCCTCTCTGCATGAAGCCACTTGTGACCAAGGGAACGATTCTATTGCTGCCTTCCCCTCCTCCCAGTCCAATTCTTGAGATGCTGAAATGAAAATATTCATATGAATATATGAAATATAGTTAGACTGTTACAGTTACAATTTTCATTTTGTTTTCAGTCCTGTTTTTGGTGTATTTCCAAACATTTTGTGGTTTTGACCCTTGCTGAGCCTGTTACATGGCTGTTTTCTTAGCTGTTTTACCTGACAAGGCTCTAAGAAACCTCAGAGCTTAAAAATGTTTTATTTTGAATAAAATTTATGGTGATTACTATGAAAACTACCAGTACTTAACAGGAAAAATGTTACACTGCAGATGTAATAGAAGCAAAAACCA